TACTTTTACAACAATTACATTCTTGGTTTTGGTGGGCCACCCCAAGATTTTCAGTGGCCACCCCTATGAACAATTTCTGGAGGCGCCACTGTGCGTAATATGAACAAACAACATGTGCGTCTGCGTTCCATTTTCACTCTACAGCGAGAAGCTCACGGGGCTTTCCAGAACCTGTGTCGAGAGCTGGAGATAAATGAAATCTCAGATTTGCCTTCTTAATAGTTTGTTTGGGTCCCTCACTTCCATTTTGCTTCTCATGCACTGATTCGCTAGCTGAACAGCCAATCAGAGTGATTTCTTTTGCCGACTGCCTTGGTCTTCGGCCGAAAAGGCGTCGGCCCGGCTGAAAAGACCCGACGTTGCGGGACACACCAATCTGAGTAGGGCGTGTCGACGCTCATCTGCGGCCTGACGCCCACCGACGCCGATAATCGGCCTGGTGTGTCCGGGCCTTTAGCTGACCCCACTTGGCTGTCCGGCAAGAACCAAAAACCAGGATGTTAGCCAACTGTTTACCTACTCTGCTTTGATGAAATGTGTTTATTGGAAACTAAAACGAAATGCATGAAATGTGACTACAAGGAGCTGAACCAAAGTAGCTACTTATAAATAGCTAACATTTGAACAGTTAAAAATGTATCTTTTCTTGGTGAAACTAACCTGTGATTCATTAGTAGAAGTTATTGAATGTTTTGAGTAAAGGCCATTTAAGGTTTTAAAGAAATAGTAGAATGCTTGTGAAGAAACAGGGTTGTTTTGTGTACCTTCTGCACCTCTAGTGCTAGAAATGTAACTGTTGCCTGTTGGTAACTTTAGGTGAAATGGGCATTTTTTCATCTTTACATATAACTTTGTTTCTTCTTCTCTCTGTAGGTCTGTGATACCATACTGGGACACACCAGGGAACGCTTCTCCTTCACAAACCACCTTGTCAGTGCCACCTTGCTGCAGGGGGACAGGTTTGAAGAGTTCAAGATGGCATTTCCTGAAGATGCACTGAGGAACACCTTGAAGGCCTACCCAATGCTTAATAGAAGCAAGCTGAAGACAGAGTCTCATCTACAACAGTTGTTCATGGAGAATAATCTTGAAAAATTATTTTCAGAGATTGTTACTCTCCTAAAGATCCTCATCACCACACCCATGACCTTGGCGGAAGCTGAGAGGTGCTTCTCCACTTTGAAAAGGATTCAAACCTTTCTTCGAAACACCATGACCCAGGAGAGGTTGAATGCATGCTGTCAATGGAAAAGAGTCTGGTGAAGGAGAAGACTGACTTTAATTCTACCGCATACTGTTGCCCTCAGGCAACAAACCACTTTTTTCGACCTCACACTGGCCCTCTAAATATATATATATTTTTAAATATACACAATGTCACCTGACATGCTGGTGTCCAATAAAATGAGGGAATGATATGGGTGTGGCATTTTGTCTGGGGACGGAGCAGTCCTTTCTGCAAGCAAAACTGCAGGGGACTCAGGGCCACCACTTGGTAAGATACATTTCACTTTTTAACATATTAGAAATGTACACAACTTAAAATAAAAAATACATGCATGTGCATGAATACGTAAAGAAGTATATTTGATTGTTTAAAGACTTATTATGTATTTATTAATTAGCTAAAACTATGTTTTTTTGTTCGTTGCCTCAGGGCAACACTGTGCCACTTGGACCACTTTTTTCCAGGCAATATCATACAAGTGTGCTCAGCTGTAAAATGATAAACCTAATCAATGTTTTTACATCTACTGATATTTACAGGGAATGGACACAAAACATGTTATGGGCAGAAGGGACACGGTCAGGCTGTTAGGGCTATTCCGTCTGACAGTGAGGACAGTGAAGGTCAAGATAGGGTTAGGCACACAGACACAGACACACACACAGACACATACACACACACACACACACACAGAGAGACATACAAACACATACACACACACATAGACAAACACATACACACACACACAGAGACATACAAACACATACACACACACACATAGACACAGACACACACACACACAGACAAACACATACACACACAGAGACATACAAACATGTACAAAAATGACATACAAACATGTACAAAAATGTTTTCCTCCCAAAATAAAAAGTCATGCCATAGAGGGTTAATCAGAAAGTCATTGAGAAATGTGCAGGCCAGAAGGAAAGGAGGGCAACATTTATATTCAAGTAGTGCTAGTGTCCATGAATCACAATAAATGTCCTTCAACATTACAGTGGTGTTGTAGGCTGTTTTTTTTGTGCCCCCCCTAACATTTTTAGCATCAGAGACATGGTTTTTATATATCTGAGACCTATAATATATGCCTAAAAACAGTATAATAGGAGACCTTTAACTTCCAAAAATCTCGCCCCTCCAATCAGAGACAAAAGGCAAATCAAAAAGCATGGCAGTCACTTGCCTGTTAGCTGTTTTAAGAAAGAAAAATAATTGAAACAAAGGTAAACGGACTGTAGTGTCCGAACTTTACTCAGATCACTAAACGTACATCTCATTTCCAATACAACATCTGAAATTCTATTCATAAACCAAAACCTGTAAGTCATACAAGAAACGACAGAAATAAATCTTAGGATAAATGTTTTAATGATGTATAAAATACATTTAACTTTTTTTTCAATAATAAAAACAAAGTGGTTTGAATTTCAGGGTGTACGATAGATATTAATATGAAAATAAGTAAAAACAAAACTGCCCAAAGCACTACACATGACAAATAAGAACGCAGATATTTGGCTACACTGAGGGATTTTTTTCTCTTTTCAAGTAAACTTGACAAAGTATTTTTCTTGGTGTGCCTCATTGTTTATATTTTCTTTCAAATAAAGAGCCGTAAGGTCCTTAAAGTAGAATTAAGCAAGAATTGGACCCACTACTAATAAAATGAATACATATCTGAGCACGGGGGGCTTAACTCTGGACCACCACACACCTCTGGCCTGAAGCTCCAATAATAATAATATACTGTACAAAGACTAACAGCCCTAGTCTTAGTGTGTTTATGAAGGGGGTGGGGGGTGGCTGCTCTTCCCTTGGCTGAAATAGTGACCTCCAGTGGTGGGATGGGGCTACTGCACAGTTCGGGGTCGGAAGAAGGATTTCTCACGTCTGTAGAGCAAGACTGCCAAATTCTGTGAGATTAAAAACAGAGTTATCATTGGTGAATAATGCTTGCTCAGTTGTCATGGAGATGGCTTAGTTGTCATGTATCGTGTAAGCTAGGTAAGAAACTTCAGTGACATGATAACACCTGCCAACAAATAACACTGAGATCACGTGAAGACCATGAGATGCAGTTGAAAGGATTATCTTTGGGTTTTTTCACAGCTTCGTTGAATACTCAAATCTGGTTGTTCAATTTGGACATTCAGCAGCCTGCTGTTTGATGATAGTAGAGTGTTGCTATGGACGCTCTTATCAAGGGACTATGTGCAGTCATATCAACAGCAGAAAGAATTTAGATCAATTTAACATCAGCAGGAGCGAAAAAAAACATTCATTTACGATACTTCATCAGAGACACTGTGGAATACTTTTAGAAAATTCAGTGTTATATTTGCAGATAGCACACAACTTTGGATCCTTGATGGCTAACTGTACCCAGTGAAAAAAGGAAACTTAAGAAGAGAAGGAAGAAGTTGAAAGACAGATAAATCAGCAGAAGACAGAAGTAAACACTAAAGGGAACAGCAGAAGAAGACAGACAGGAAGTAAACACTAAAGGGAACAGCAGAAGACAGACAGGAAGTAAACACTAAAGGGAACAGCAGCAGAAGCAGACAGACAAGAGGCTCATCTCAATTGAATATTTCACCTCCTCCTTTCCCTCACTCGCGTCCCTTCCTTGCTTCTTAGCTCCGCCCCCGTAAGACGCGAGCGAGAGACACGAGGAACAAACACCCTAAACACCCTTTACTTCTGGTGGCGCAGTGTATCACCCGTCACTGGACTTCCCTCCACATCAATCCCTACAAACCTGGGATTTAGTTTCACATTGAAATGATTTCATCTCTTCCATCCATCTCTTTTATTATAGTTTTCAATGTATTATTTTCGGTCCTGTATTTGTTTTTCCAGGTATAACATTTCATTTAAGTTATAATTATAATCATAACAATAATAATAATTGATGGATTAATTTCATTATGGTATTTGAGCTTGTTTCAGATCAACTTTTGTATTGGATGTTATTATTTCATTTGTCCTACAGAAGAGAGACACAAATCACTAAAAGATGTATTAGATATGCTACCCGTATTTATATCCTAAATGTTTGACGTTCTGTGGGTCATGCATCAAAGTTATTATTTTATAATCAAAACATTATTATTGAATTTGTAAGTATATTTCACATACTTAATGTTTTTATAGAGTATGATCTCCTCATTGTTTGAGATGTAATACATTTTACTCTTAATTAAACATTTAATGACTGATCCTCCTTTAACGGTAAGATCAGCTGCAGTGAGCAGAGGCTGTGAAGGTGGGGGCAGAGTCCTGCACGGGTCTGATTTTCAAGACCCGCTCCTGCCTCGCACCCGCGACGTACAATACCGAACCCGCCCCGTTACCCGCACATATTGCTAATTAGTTCCGCAACCCGCCCCGACCCGTCGGCACAAGATCCGCAACCCGACCCGAACCCGCATAGCCTATGAGCAGTGAAAACCTGCAATTATTAACACACGCAGTTGCATATATTTGTCTCAAAAAGCGTGGGATGTTGGTTATTTTCTCCAGGATGACACCAAAAGCCTCCCAGACGTTGGATTTCGCTCTTGAGGAAGTGTTATTGAAATTGCTGTATTCTCTGCTAGAGAGCTTCACCTCAGCCATTTCGAATGTGGAGAATTTACACAGCAGCAGATTGATGCGCTGCAGAGGTTACGATTATGCGCGGTCCCGCGGGGGAGAGGTCTGAGGATTTAAACATTAAACTAAATTATTATTATTTTAATATATTTATTATGCAATACCCGCGACCCGACCCGCATCATCTTTGTTTTACCCAGAACCGAACCCGGAAAAAAAGCGTTTGAAAAAATACCACCCGCGAATCACCTTTTTTGCGGGTCACCCGTCGGGTACCCGCGGGTACCCGACCCGATGCAGGACTCTGGGTGGGGGCGGAGGTCTGAGTCAGATCAGCTGCAGTGAGCAGAGGCTGTGAAGGTGGGGCGGAGCTCTGAGTCAGATCAGCTGCAGTGAGCAGAGGCTGTGAAGGTGGGGGCGGAGCTCTGAGTCAGATCAGCTGCAGTCAGCAGAGGCTGTGCAGCTGGGGGCGGAGCTCTGAGTCAGATCAGCTGCAGTGAGCAGAGGCTGTGCAGCTGGGGGCGGAGCTCTGAGTCAGATCAGCTGCAGTGAGCAGAGGCTGTGCAGCTGGGGGCGGAGCTCTGAGTCAGATCAGCTGCAGTGAGCAGAGGCTGTGCAGATGGGGGCGGAGCTCTGAGTCAGATCAGCTGCAGTGAGCAGAGGCTGTGAAGGTGGGGGCGGGGCGGGGCTTTTATACGCGAGTAGTGAAAACACTTCCGCATAGTCTGCTCTCGTGTATCCTCCCTTTCGTCTCCTCTGGAAGCTTCCTCCATCACCCCTCCTCCTCCGTGTGCATTTCAGCAATTGGGACGTCCTTCAACATGGCGTGTCTTGATCGATTTCCGGGTCAAGTCCCGGAGGAGGGGGAGAGAGAAGTCGAGCAGGGGTATTGAGATGAACCTAAGAAGTAAACACTAAAGGGAACAGCAGAAGACAGACAGGAAGTAAACACTAAAGGGAACAGCAGAAGAAGACAGACAGGAAGTAAACACTAAAGGGAACAGCAGAAGAAGACAGACAGGAAGTAAACAGTAAGAGGAACACAGTTTGGGCTCTGCAGAGTTTAAGGACTTGTTAGTGGAACAGAAACTGAACAGACTATGACAGTTACAGAAATCTCCATCAGTGTGGCTGTCACAGCACTCCCAGCTGTTGCTATGCAGTAGATGGACTAGAAGTGGAAACAACATTTTATTTGTTCATATCAATAAAAACTGGTTTAATTCAATATATTGGGTCAAATCATTGATTAACTTAGTAATAAGCGGGATAATGTGCAGTAATCCGGTCAATATGGCGAAAGGAACCCTGAGTGATCAGGATCTGTCATTCAGGATGTTTTCACTATTCTGAATTGTTATAGCAACACAATTGGCACAATTAAGGCATAAAGGCAATAGTGCAAACCCAGCAGCTGGAAACAGAGCTACAAGCTGGAGCTGCTGCTACACTTCCTCTCTCTTTCTATTCTCTGGAGAGGCTCTGGCGCTCCCTGTAGGAAGGCTTTGGGTCGGACAGCTCAAGGGTGTTGTGGCTTGGCCTTGGCCAGGCCTTGATTTCATTTCATGAGCAAGTTGAAATATTACATTGGCATGTCAATTATTTAACACTGAAGACACCGTTTTGGAATAGTTGTTTGTGTAGCTGTGATGATGATGTCCCTGCTGTACTCTCCTACTGCTTAACAGCAGTCATTTCTACAACATATTGTGAATGTGATTTTTTATTTTTGCAAGCATTGGGGGAGCAGCAGTTGCTCAGTATGTAGGGACTTGGCTTGGGAGCTGGGCAGCAAACCACCACACTGCCCCCCAACCCCGGGCCTCTGCAGCCCACTGCTACTCACACAGGAGAAGTTAAATGTACAGTCTAAATCTTACAGTGTGCGGTCTGCATGTGTGACAATTAAAACACAGTACTGACTTCCTGTTTCTCCACCAAACTAACTATACTACTGACTACTAACCTGCTACTGATCCCTTTACATCCACTCATTACAAAAAGATACGCTGATATAGAACTTGCTTTTGACAAAAGTGCAAATGAAACCATTTGGTAAGAATAGGACGCACCTTAACTCTTTCTCCCCCCCTTCTCTCCCAACATGCACGCACGCACGCACGCACAAACGCACACACACACACACTCTCTCTCTCTCTCTCTCTTCTTTGGACAAGTTGTAGAGGGGCGGGGCTCTGATGTCCATAGTAACAGTGCTCAGAGCAGGACACAGGGACAGTCCCCGCTCTTCTTTTTCCCTGTGTGATGAGCTTGGGGGGGAGGACTCTCCATCTCCTGAAACTTTCTGTGGATGAAGAACATAAAGAAAGATAGGAATGAGTCTTTCTAAAGTTGACTCCCTGGTCATGTGTGTGGGGGTGTCCCCTTGATATTACACAGTGTAATTTGATTGAATTTTGATATACTGAATATTAATAAATGCAGGTTCAAACTTAATAAGGTCTAAGTAAGAAGAATCTTAGCGTTAAACTGTATAGTCCCGTACTGTAGCCACTGTTTTCTGCTGGTAGCTGAGTCTGTAGACTTGGCTTTGGAACCAGATGATCGCTGGTTCAAGTCCGTGAGCAAGGTGCTCCCCAATGCAGAGGGCAAATGTTACTATGTGTGTGTCCATGAACATGTGTGTAACCAGTAAAGAGGGTTTCATGTATATTCATCTATTTTTTATTATTAATCAGATTGTAAGGTAAGACCATTTTGGATGCTATCCTGATCTCCAGGACCTTAAAATGTAACCAACTACATATTTTGATATTTCTATCAAATATAAATAAAAGGTTAATACATTCTTACTTCCCATGTATTAGAAATGTATGTATTAATTACATCAAGTCATCAATACCAGTCAAGGCCTTCATTTCAGAGTAATGATTTCATGCTTTCAAGACTTTTTAAGGACCCGCAGGATCCCTGTACAAACCCGTGTGCAGTGTTTTGGCATCTAACAAGCCTTTAAACATATATTTGACCAACTGCACCTGATAATTTGTACCAGCTCCAAGAAGCATTCATCCACGTTGTGGCGATTCTTGGCAGAAGCCTCCATGTAGTGGATCCTGTTCTCTCTGGTGAACGCCTGGGCATCCTCCCTGGAGATCTGCACACAGAGCAAACTCAATCTGATCCACTGGCCCGCCTCCTGTCACTCTCGGTCCCCATGAGAGATAAGGCTTTTTTTTAATACAAATATAGGAGGATATATGTCTGGGACTAATGGCGCTTTTCCACTGCAGGACCAAGCACGGCTTAGTACGGTATGGTTAGGCCTTGGTAGGTCAGGCTCACTTTATGCTGTGTTTCCATTCCAGTTTACCAACTGGGGTAATAACTATAATAACGCAGTGTAGGCGGGCGATCGGCTGTTCGGCGGGCGGAGCGACGCTGCGTAAAACTGCTGTGACGTCATCTTCAATGCGAACCACAAAACATCAGCCGTTAGCTGTTAGCCCTCAAGCTCACAGCTCCTCATATCTGTTCAGAAACTAGACAAAAGTTAAACAAGTACAAACCACAGACTGTCTGTGTCATGGAGAATACAGTCGCTGCTTTATTTATGTCTGTAGGCCGTTGTTGTGAGTGTGGACGGTCGGAGCATATACTGCGTTAGCTTAGCCAAGCTCCATTCAGAAAACACGCATTTTAAAAAGGTTTTTCGCCTGCCGTCTGTCTGTCTTGTCAAAGCATTAATTCATGGTTTTTACTAACCGGTATCAGTATGTTGTTACTTCGGCATCATTTTGAAACGTGTATTACAATGAAATCACAGTAAAATATGTTCATGTTGTTGTAGTTGTAGCCCCCTTGCCAGCGATTCTCTCTGACCATTCAGCAGTCGAGAGTGTTTACGTCTCTAGCTTAGCATATTCAGCCCGGTTGTTGGCCCGGTAAGAACCTCGATTTTGGAGGGCCAGAAAAAAGGTGAAAAAGTAGCCCTGAGCCGGAACCCCGTGCTACGTGCTGCAGTGGAAAAGCGCCATAAGTTAGCTTTCCTCAAACACAACATAACTAAATATAACAATTCTACCAGGTTACTGTTGCTGTTGGAGTAGAGGCCGTAAAAACATTTTTGCATTAACTGATTATTATGGAGTATTATGTTGATGGCTGTAAAATAATGACACCGACAGTTATTAGATTGGTTCCATATAAGCTCATTTAATAATACAATTAAGCATGCTGGCAGGTTGTGTTTTGTTTTCACATTGAAAGCCCTCCACATACACTGCATCCCTGCTCACCAGAGAGCCTTTCACCGAGGCAACTCAACAAAATAGGTAAAGAAAGTTTCCCCAGCAGTGTTAATTTCGTCAACGAAAACTATGGGGAAAAATGGTCGTCAACGACCTTTTTTACATGACTAAGACGAGACGATGACGAGCTAAAAATAGATTATTGATAACGAGAACTATGACGAAATGTATATTTAGTTTTCGTTGACGAGACGGGACTAAGGTGTTAATGGTGGACTATCGGACATTCAAAATGCAGCATATTTTCCCCCAAGTGTCCGTCTTGCCTGTCAAAATGCATCTTACGTTTCTAACTTGCAATAACATTATTTCCGCTCTCTTCACTCCAGAAGAGCAATCTCCCTGTGTCGCTCTGTGTGCGGGGGGCGGGGCGGGGCCTAACAGACACGCTGCAGCGGACACAGAGATCTGCCGGGGACGGAGCGTTCAGAGAGTATAGAGACACTCTACAAGGCTCGATGTGGAAAAAGCTTGTTTGCCATTAGTGTTTTCGCGTTAGCGCGTTGACACGAGTAGAGTAGTCTGTCCAAACAGCTGGCCAAAATGCGTCATATTCAATCGGAGAAATGCAGAATTGTCATTGTGCAGATTGGTCCATTTCAGAATAATATATATGATATGTTTTATAATGATTGATCATGAAAGTGTTCTCAAAGCTGGTGAAGGTGCAGCTAGTTTGAATGACTTTGTATACTGCAGGGTAGCTGGTGGATTTACTCCAGGTGGAACTAAAGTCTGATTCAACACTTGGTTAGATTTCACATCATTCATCCACATCTGTGAAGTAACTAAAGGGATTAAATACATAGTGGAGGAAAAGTACACCATTTAACTCTGAACTGTAGTGGAGTAGAAGTACTAAGTAGCAAAACATTTAAATGTAAAGTACAAGTACCTCAACATTTTACTCAAGTACAGTACAATATAATAACATAATTATACATATTTTATTTATTTATTTCACATGTAAATAAAGCAATGTTAATTCGGTTAACAATTTGTTTAGTTTTTCCCTTTAAAAAATAACAAAAAGTACCTACAAGAATACCGTTAAGGTACCGGATCGATAAGCAGTTTCGATAAGACTAGTAGTACCATTAAAAACCTTAGCGATACCCATCCCTATATATTACACAAGTAAAGTGTTAAGAGAGTGAAATGTTGCTTTACGAATTTCAACACTTGATGCTGTCACATTGATTCAAATGTCAGAAACCTGTATTTGCCTAACTGAATTAGTTTAAAGAGAGAAAACATTTTGACTAAAAGTTGACTAAAACGTTTTGAGTTTTCGTCGACTAAAACAAGACTAACACGTTTTGAGTTTCGTCGACTAAAACTAGACTAAAACTACGAAGGATAGGAATGACTAAAATGTGACTAAAACTAATGATCATTTTCGTCTAAAGACTAAGACTAAATCAAAAACAGCTGCCAAAATGAACACTGTTCCCCAGGTAGCAGAACAACCAGAGGAATGTTATCCAACAAAAGAGCCCTGTTGATGGAGGGAAAAAAAGGCGCAGAGAAAGCATTATAAAAATGTTCTCTCTACTAAACTACATCAATAAACAACAAACCTTCTATTTATCAAAACCAGTGGATGTTTGCTCTGCCTTCATCAGAGCACTGAGTTTGGGTTACTGATCTTTGAGATTCTTTGGTCACTAGCCATGCTGCTACAGTAGCCATGTTGCTAACGATGTTGTAGATTGATCTTGTCAATAGGAAAACAACGGACAGGACATGGGTTTTTAGTGGACCTTTCCCATTTATCTAATTCCCCTCCTCGACTCCTATCCTCGTGTCTTAGTCCCGCCCACAGGAGATGAGAGCGGAGGAGTCGAGGAGGGGAACCCGAGGAGAGAGGAGGGGAAGCAGCAGGCGGTTAGAGAAATGAGAACTCCTCTCCTCTGAGCGGTCATTTTAAAGAGACGTCCATTAATGATGACAGGAGGCACAGCAGCCCTCTGTCTGATGGACAGATGTGTTCATGACCACTTATATATTTACTTTGATTCATTCACAGTGCGGTATAATGAGACAATAACAGGCTACAGATGCGGACACACACACACATATATTTATATATATTACAATTTCAGAATCAAACAAGTATGAGAGCACTCATAATAACGTAACACTATCAGAGACTGGATATATCCCCCCCCCTCTCTGGTCACTACAATGGGGAAATGAAATTACGAGCCAAAAGTTTTATGCACCTGTATATTACTGAGTGATATATATTATACACACTGCTCTGCTTTTTGCACGGACCTCAGCAGCTGTTCTCACTGTAAACATTGCGTTGCGATTAAAGCAGTTAATAAAATATAAAAAACAGCCTAATATCCAGGGGATGCAGCATGCAGAGCTGTCATTGGTTGAGATCAGTCCGGCCGTGCGTCACGCCTCTTTTAAAACATCACTGTTGCCAGAAATACATCCGCGGAGGATACATCAGTGTTTCCTCGGTTATAGCTCCTCCAGAGAGCCTCCTCGATGCTCGATCCTTGATGCTTGATGTGCATTTAGTAGGGGTGTAACGGTTCACAAACATTTCGGTTCGGTACGTACCTCGGTTTTTAGGTCACGGTTCGGTACGTTTTCGGTACAGCAGAAAAGATTATCACAAAACATAAAATATTTTTTGGGGGTTTTTAATTATTATTAAACTGTGAATAATGTATTCACTCAAATACATTTCGATGAACTGAAATAATCTGTATTTGAACTTTACTGTAGCCTACTAGTACTCACAATACATAAAATATTAGTTTTGGGTTGTTCATTTATTAAACTGAATATTCACTAAAATAAATACAAAATATAATAAAATAAACATTAAGGTGCAGCATTTCGATGAACTGAAATAATCTGTATTTGAACTGTACTGTTTTCATGTTTTTTTAAAGAAAAATGAACTTGTCCACATTGCTTGCCGAAAGGGCAGATCTGCTGGCACTAACAATGTCTCCTGCTGTGGAGAACACCCTCTCTAGGGACAGTGGCAGCAGATACAGCCAGGTAGCGCTATGCTAACATGGCAACATAAGGATACTTGGTGTTTGTAATAGCTTTGGCTCGGTCTGAACTTGTTCGAGTGGTGGAGGCTTAAATGCTAGTGGGAGTTGGGTTTTCACTTCAGTCTTTTTTCTTTTGGTACTGGTGATATTCACGTTCGGGTGATGCCTTTTCAAGAGTGTGCAAGTTTGATGTATTGCCAGCCGCGTAACCGATTTTAGTTGAACAATGCCGACCTGTCTTTGTCCGTCATCCTTGTACGTAACTGCGAAACCAAAATGTTCCAAAACCGGAGACTTCAATGATGCTGGAGGATTTTCGAGCTCAACTTTATCTGCGTTCGCCATTTCCTCAAATGACTGACTAAATTTGAACGCATCCCTCTGACCAGCTCTCATAGTATGCCTCTCGTCCAATGAAATGACTTGCTCGCTCTATGACGCGTTGAACACAATGTGAGCAAATTACTTTATAGGATATACATATTTTATACATATTTGTACTTTTATATTCGGCATTGTGGGAAACGGTATTTCGATCTCTCTGTCTGTACACACAAATTGAAAGATTGACAATAAAGTTGACTTTGACTTTTTGACTTATAAAACAGCCTGTCCTAGAGAATACAAAAGTGGCTTCAACAAAGATTATATTGTCACAGAAATAAAGAACCTGAACCTGATTGCACAACAGCTACATCTGAAGTCCCAGGCTCCTCCTATAGAACAATGAATACCATCTGAAGACACTAGGGGGGGTTCTATTTACATTTGTATGTTCTTAAACTCCCTGAAACTTCCAAATCCTGTGAAATAACTGATCCGTTTCCCTGACTTGCACTACAGTATTTTCCAGGAAGCAGGGATAATGGAAAGCTAGCGACTCCATTAAGCTGCATGAGGGTACTGACCACTCTCTGATGCTCCAGGTCCGCCTTGTTTCCAACCAGCACCATGGGGAAGTCATCCCGGTCCTTCACTCTCAGGATCTGCGTGTGGAACTTCTGAACCTCGTGGTAGCTGCCAGGGGACACAGGGAGTAATCAGCACGGTGTCAAGAACCACACAATCATATGCATTCTGATCACAGGAAGGAATGTGTAATATACAGATTGACACAATATGAACCAATCCAATCAGCTCCGCTTAACTCCCATTACCTGCCCCGGTCGTTGAGTGCAAACACCAATAGAAAGCCTTCTCCTGAGCGCATGTACTGCTCCCTCATCGCTCCAAACTCCTCCTGACCGGCTGTATCCAGGACTGAGAGAGAGAGAGAGAGAGAAAAATTAAGACATTAACCCTTTCATGCATGAATTATGAAAGCCTCAGTCAGGATTTTTTTACCAAGTGTTATTATTGCTCTTGGTGCATGAAAAACAAGATTTGAACTTTTTTTTTTTTAATCTAGTTTTTTCAAAGAGATTTGTATATGTCCACTCAGGTGGACAGTATGCGTTAAGGGTTTGAACTGAAGAGATGTACATTTTGAAAAAATGATAAATAAAGATGTGCAAACTTAAAATTACATTATAATAACATAAGTATGTTGATTTACGGCCCAAAAAGATATTGCAGATGAAGTATTTTCAAGAATAACCAGGGCCAGGGGCCAATTTGAGGCCCCACGCACAGTTATTTGATGAGTGCTAGTGGAGCCTCGCAGCGGCGAAACCGTGCCGTGCCACCCTAATTGCGCCACATAAGCGCATAGGTGCGCCTCAGGTGAGGCCCCGCTCCACAAGGTGTGGCCCCCTCCACAAGGTGAGGCCCCACACAGTCTGCATGACCTGCCTGTAGGGAGGGACGGCCCTGGGAACAACAGCAGCAGTAGCAGTATGAATTGTAGTTGAAATATAGCCAGTGATGCATGACGTCCACTGTAGTGGAGAGGTGGTTAATCATGATTTCCTGCAAACATAACATCAATACTTTGATCATTTATGAATTATATGATTCCTTAGTTGTTACTTGATGTCACCACATGTTTTATACCTGCAGGGGACGCTTTCCATAAAAGGATTGGCAGGATATAGATGGGTGACTTGGTCCATGTGGCTTTCTGTCGTCCATCTTGGTTTAGAGACATGTATGATGCACTTACACTGACTTGGCTCTGAGGGGCAGGGTATGGGATGATGCAATAGGGTCCTATGTAGTGGCTGATGGTGCAACTATGCAAAAAAAAAACAATGCATATACAAGAAAACGCCTTTTGAATAGCTGTCCACTGTAGTGACCTCTATGCATGAAAGGGTTAATACAAAGTCCTTTGTTATCTCCTTTAGGACACACTGGAGCATCCTTTACGAAAAGGGAAGGAGATCATGCTGTCCCACAATACCTTGTGGTCGCAACATTTACGGTTACACAACATTCGGCCGTTCACGGAAACAACCGATCGTGGGCGAAAAAATGATATCATGGAAATTAAGGTACTTATTCAGCATTTTAGAACGTATGCAGCAACTTGCTTAGGTGCTTGGTTTTTAATGTTCAACACTATAATGATCAAAGGACAAATATGAACTGATCAAATAAAGTCAACATTTCAGTGTTTACTGACATGTTGGGGGTTTCTTAAACATGTTTGAATGGTGATATACACAGTGATGGGTTAAGGCCTAACAAGTTCATAATAAATACATTTGTATTTATCTTGGAATATTTTCATACAGTCATTCGTATTGGGCTTCATGTGGATTAATACGTGAGGACCGGAGGGGGGGGGGGGGGGGGGGGAGTGATAACAATAAGTTTCACTTTCCTTTTTTATTTCAATTCCAACTTTGGTCATGAAGAATATGTTTCTCTGTTGTCCACGTTCATAAAGCATAAAGCAACAGCATCAGAGCACGGTGCAGAGTCTCTAGATGAGTTTACAGTAGTCCCTCGTTCTTATTAAACATCCATGTTGTAGTCCGCTGTATAGAAAACTGTAGTTTCTATAGTTTCCCCACAGCAGCAGACGCACATTCATGACGTCCGCTGGAGCATCATAAACACGTCGGATAGTGAAAGTGCAGTCGATTCTCTAAAGTACCGCAGTCTCTTCTCCTAAGTCCTTTTGAATTCTCCTATCCACTATCCCTTAACCCCGTGACATTTCACTCAGAGGTCAAGGGATAGTGGATAGGAAAAGACGATAGGAGCTGATTTTTGAACAATTCGACTGCAACCGTACAGTGACACAACATTCGGCCGTTCACGGAAACAACTGATGGTGACAAGAAATGCAGATCATGTGGTTACGGTGCTTATTAAGCATTTTACAACTTATGTCATCATTTGTTGAAGTGCTTAAATGTTTTGAACTTTCAACACTTTATTAAATCAAAAATAAAATCAGGTAACAGTTTTACACTGAGCTAAAGGAAAGGCTTCTCTCACAATTTCACTGCAAACACAGAGAAGAAGAAGAAGAAGAGGCAAAGTACAGTGTTTGTGAGGTCAGGTGTACATTAACTGCCGGTTATGATCTTCTTTTTAAAATAGAACACTTATATATATATATATATACATTATGTATAATTCGTTATTTTATCAGAGAAACAGGTAATTATGGGCAATCAGCTGTAAAAACAGTCCCTGTGGTGCATGTGTAAGTGTACTGCATGCTGGGAGAAGTTGTGTTGAGCTGGTTAGTGGTAGTTTGAAGCTGGGATTCGATACCAACCCAACACAAATCCAAACAGGACTTGAGGATGACGCATGAAGTGATTTTTGAATATTATAATGCATGTGATAATACTATACTATATCGGACTGTCGGCCATATTTGATATTCACACAGAAGAGCGTCATCACAGGGTGTGCTGCGTGTGAGGTGACTCATGTAGGAGGGGGCAGGGCAGCACACTGCTTCACTTTAGTGTACGCTTCTTCCATCAGAAGATTCACGTGACAGAGCTGAGCAGGTGTTCTGATAAACCTGTCAGAAACCAGCTGCTGTTACTGCACATAGTTCCAGGACCCTCACAGACTCTTCCAATACTCAATTGGTGTACACTTTTTAAGTCTATTTACTTGGTTGATATAAATGACATATGTACTTGTTTACTTAGAAACATTTACAAAGAACTAATGGAAATGAATTCCATTCATAAAGACAAAAATACTGATACTATCATGTTGTTTACGCACCAAACTCAGTCCTTGAGATACCTTGTAAAGAAACAGAAACACAATGTGGGAAGTTATGTTTTAATCTCATCTTAATAATTATCTAAGTCTTTGAGGTTTTCCTTTAAAGCAGCTGATGTGATGAGGCAGGACCTTAACATGTTCCTGCTGAGCTCTCTGTGTGTGTGTGTGTGTGTGTGTGTGTGTGTGTGTGTGTGTGTGTGTGTGTGTGTGTGTCACCCTGAACACCACCCACTGCTACATCTGTGCACAAATCACTCTGAGACATATTGTGTAGCAGATAACTAATCTAAGTGCTTTTAAAGATGGCTTATAATACTTCAGTTCAGCAGAGAAGCTTAACTTGACTTTGAGTGGACAGTAATGTTTGTAAAGAGGAAGGGAGAACATTCAGAGGGTTCTCACAGTGGACTTCAATCCACAGCGCAGTAAACCAATGGTCTGAAGAACAGCCAGAGTCCTGGAAACAGTAGCTGTACACAGGATGATTCACATGTGTGTGTAGGGAGACAGCAGTGTGAGCCAACCCCAGCCTGGCTTCCTGCACACTGGCCAAGCACAAGTCCTAACAAGGGAATTCAAGCTCCAGAGAGCAAACACTGTCACAGTGCAACACACCCTCAGTGTTTTAAACAAAGCCGTACACACACTCTGACAAACATTAAGAAGTACGAGCCTTACTGTCCAGCCGGGTCTCCTTCCCCCCAACGGTGCAGATCTTGGTGTAGGAGTCCTCAATGGTGGGGTCGTAGTCTGACACAAAGTAGGACTGTGGGATACACTCAATGTTAATAACAAAGTACTTCTGTTTATACTGCTCAATACTTCAACAAGTACCTGGCTCCATAGTGACAGTTGGAGATTGGACTTTAGTAATTGCTAATGAACAAGTATTTTATGGTCAAGGACAATCCTAATGATACTGGTAATAACATTCTTTATAATGACCGTGTGCCGATGAGAAGAATCTCAAGTCTTCTCCAATACAGCATGATGTTTATTTTGTAAATCATGGTCCCATTTGCAGTAAAAGAGATGATAGCATTGGTATGCTTTAGGGCGGGTCTTCTTTGTGATTGACAAGTCAATACCACGTTTCAGTCCGGTCTGGAATTGTCTGTGTTTTTGTCCACGAGTTGGTCTACTAAATGTGTCCTGTTCACGTGAGTTGCTCCAGGTTAACCGACTGTGTCTCACAAAATGCCAAGTCCATAAACCAAAGGACGACCTCACGGTGGCAACGTCCGCTTTTATATTCACTCAACAGTTTACCTAAGTTCTAGTTTGTTCTTTAGTTGCTTTGTAAGAACAAGTTGTATTTAATGTTAATGTATGTTCACTTGCATTTGCCACAGTCACTGGGTAAACGTGGCTCTTTGGAGCAATGGCTGCCCGGGCAATACAATGAATTGACTAGCAGCACGATGAAGTATATGACATTTGTAATTAATACAAAATAACAATTTGCGAATGCGTGTTGGGGATAAAAAAAAGTTCCTTCACTGTTAAAACGGAACACAAAGGGACCATGTGCGCACACATAGTGAAGAGCAGAACGGTCTGCATCTCATCACCGAGCCAAATGATCTGGCTCAGTGAAAAGACACCAATTCCCATGAACCACTTCATAACTCTTTTACTGGCCTTGCCCGTAGCTGGTAACAAAGGGTCATGGTCTCTTCTGTGTTGTGGTGAGGCGATACGAGCAGCCAATCAAAGTCACACAGGTGTGATGTGATTAACATCACAGTGAGCCAGAGCTACAGAGCTCACAGGAACATCCTCTGTGTGAGGATTACTTCATGAAATACTTTAACAGAGCAACTTTCAGAGGATGTTCCGTTCACTGATAAAGCTGAAACGTTTACTTCATTACATGTAGTATGTAGACAGATTGCACATAACTGGATTAGGTGAGGTGAAAGCTGTTATGGGATGTCAATAAAAAACAATGTTGCCAAAAGGCTAAATCTCGTATTGAAGTGAAAGTAATAACACTTTAGTGTACAAACGTGGTAGGCCTACATGAGGTATGTATGAGCATCACATCTTGATACTTCAAAGTTCAGGAAGTAGTATGCAAAATGTCATTTGATGTCTAATTTAAAGAATATGTAACTAGTGCTTGAGTGCAGTTTGTTACTTTTCACCACTGATGCAGAGCAGACTGGCGGTAGGCCTCAACAAAGACTTAAACATGGCACACACAGAGGACAGATGTTACAGATGTTTCATACCTGGATGAACTGGATGGTGAGGGCGCTCTTCCCCACCCCGCCCCCACCCACCACAACCAGTTTGAATCGTTCTTCTTCTGCACTCATCCTGCCTCTGGTCCGGCCCTGTTCCGATCAACCGCCCAGCAGCACAACAATCCAAAGTAAAGTAGATCCGCCTCTTCACGGAATGTGAGCAGAGGAGCGCGGCATGGACGACTTTAGCGACAAAATGGAACTCCTCTACCTGAAGCTCATGTCCTATCAGTCCTGGCCACAAAAGTCCCTGAGTCCACCGCCGCTCCGCCGAAGTAAAGACTAAGATAACCGAGCTTTAGCTTCAGGTTTTGGGCTGAACAAATCCGTGGAGCTGCTTCTCTGCTCGACCTCCAGCTTCTTCTGGGGGCGGGACTGCTTCCTCTTTTCTTTTTTCTCGAGAAACTTATGCGCACACACACACACTCACACGCGCACACACACTCACACGCGCACACAGACACACACACACACACACACACACACACACACACACACACACACTAGTCGGTACTTCACATACTTTAGCTTTCTTCTTAGTGAAATCTGATCGGTACGAATTCCACCATCATGTGTCAGTTTCCTTATTTGGTCATGTGGAGTGTCCGTGACATAATTTTAACCGACTGGCCCGCGCATTTGAAAAGCAGCACGAGGCCCGAAATATTTACTGTCATTATATTTATCCATAATAATATTACATTATTTAAATAAACAGATGTTGTCTCCTTAGTTTACCATCAAACTTTTCAGTAATGTTTGAGCTGGAACAACACATGTAAGTTGAGAATGAGAAACCACTTCTTCATGGTAAACTTTGAAAGGTTATAGTGACTATTACATGTTATCTGTAAACCGTGTACAGCCCTCTATGCTGGAGAAAGCTGCCCTGAGGCAGCACATACCTCCCTCTGGCCCCCCGCCAACAGGCTGCAGTCTTGCAGCCGCTGGCGTGCAGCTACATGTCTGACTGCAGCACAATATCCATAAGAACAATGACATTGACTCAGTTAAAACAGAATGAATGCTGCAATTATAATGACAATAATGTGATGAAATGTAACTTGTGTTACGACTGCTAATAATATAATAGCATGAGTTTATTAATGATATGGCAACATTAAGCTGATGGAATACAACTCTTGAACAACCGGTTTGGTTAATCACTTTCATTCGTAAAGAAAATATAATACTCAAGAATGAAAGTCAAAAACAAACAGACTTACATCTCCACTGCACTGTTAAACTTTGTCCCCCATAGAACAATAAAACCTCACTGCTTGCCATACACTTTCCCTCCGGTCTGCTATGCTTCAATCTCTGTGTACAGTCCGTTATCCTTTAGGAACATGTAGTGTATGCGCAATATCAGCGAAAACAATGAAGGGGTTTCCACATCCAAAACCTTTGTAGTGTTAGTTGAAATCATTCATTAGTGATTACACTATATTCTCAATCAAACTGCCCCCCCACAGCCAGCCCCTGGTGTTCTGCATTGTACCCTGCTTGATATCTGGACCTTTCTTTCAGCTGGCATTGGGCCCACTGTAGAGCTTTTTGCAGGCCAATAGATTGCCACCACATACAAATTCTGACGGCCATTTTACCAGCGCACAAGTCTGCATGACTACACCCTCACCACATCATTACTTTTGCACTCCTGCCTTTCCTCACATCCCGCAGGTGTTCTGTGGAATGTGAGGAAGAAGGGGAGATTCAGAGAGAACACTGGCTTCTTAGGCAAAGTAAAGGTTTAGAAACAGAGGTAGTATTTTCTGGTGTCAGGATTGTGATGAGTAATATGATACCTACAAACTAGATACCTATCTTGGGAAGTGCCGCTCTAAACCGCAACTGATAAGAAGGAGATGAGACACGTGGACATATCATGTTTAATCCTCATCCGTAAACACATCTCACGCAAGTGGGCAACAAGTCTTTTTAATAAATGAATCTTATAAAAGTCACATTTTGCCAACACGATGCAATTGTGTAGGTGTTTATTATTAGTATAGTATAATCCTTATTTTCAGTTCTGCAATAAATAAATAGGAGACAGGAGTTCTCTCTCATGACACCATGCTGCCACAAACAGAAACAACACCCTCAGCACCTGTACGGCAGGCAGGCTGTCCCATCTTAACTGGGGGGGACAAACAGCCCCCCCAGCAGGATCCTCTCCCCACCAGCCCAGCAGCTTGTTGAGCAGCCCCTGCTCCTTCATCTCTGATGTGCTGCACTTCAAGGGGGGGGGGGGGGCTGCTCCCTGTGCCTGGGGGGCCGTGTGGTACCCAGCTCACTGCTGTGGAAAGTTTGAGGTGTGGAGCTGCACTTTGCTTGCTGGCTGCAACCAAGTGTCCCTGACAGCTGTGAGTGTGAGGGCCTCTGCGGGGTCTGTCTCTGTGTGGCCCCTGCTCCTCTGCTGAGTCTCTGTGTGGCCCCTGCTCCTCTTCTGAGTCTCTTGTGTGGCCCTGCTCCTCTGCTGAGGGAAGATGAGGGTCCGGCTGCTGCTGGGAGTTGAAGTTAGTTGGGAAATGAGAGGGCCGGGTGGCTCTTTTCACAAAGCTGATAAAGAGACAGGAAGTGGTTAGGGCCTTGGTCTGCAGGGCTCACACCACTCATGATATTCAAAACAATCCCCCCATCCACGGTGTGGTTAGACATCAGTATTATTATAAAGAGCGCAACAGTTAAGGAACGTATCCTCTTCAGAACTCAACATGTGAATGGCCACAGAGGAGAGCATAGCCCACAGTTACATTTTGGAAGGCTTTGAACTGAAAAAATATATATATACATATATATACCTACATATATATATATATATATATATACACACACATCATACAGTAACCAGTCAAAAGTTTGGACACACCTTCAAATTCTAAGTCTTTATTTATTTTTTTCTACATTGTACATTTATACTGAAGACATCAAAACTATAAAACACATATGGAATTATCTAGTAAACAAAAAAGTGTTAAAAAAATCAAGAATATGAGTTATATTTTGCTGGCTAGAATGCTGTGGTAGCCATGCTGGTTAAGTGTGCCTTGAATTTTGAATCAATCACCAACAGTGTCACCAGCAAAGCCCCCCCACACCATCACACCTCCTCCTCCATGCTTCACGGGGGGACCACACATGCAGAAACCATCTGCTCACCTTCTCTGCGTCTCACAAAGATACGGCATTTGGAACCAAACTAATAATAATTATTCTTATTCTTAAAATCAATGTGGTGTACGTCTTGACGTGCCTTAAAAACGGTGGGCGGTCTTTAGGTGCTCCTCCAGCACAGGTGCTTCTCTTCCACTGAGTTGAGTGGTTCTTGTCATAATATGGATTACAACAGTAGTCAAATAGGGCTTTCCATTGTGCACTACCCTACCTCTGCTCAACACAGAGAGAAGCCAAGAGTGTGCAAAGCTGTCATCTAAGGCAAAAGGGGGCTACTTTGAAGAATCTAAAATACAAATCATATTCTGGATTTGTTAACACTCTTTTGTTAACTAGATAATTCCATATGTGTTCTTTCATAGTTTTGATGTCTTCAGTCTTAATCTACAAAGTAGAAACAATTGAAATAAATTAAAAACTTCGAATTTGAAGGTATTGCTAATGCCATTGTTTTAAGTTTGTGTAGTCCTCAGTCTCAAATGCTTAAATTGTTTATGGAGGCATTCAAATGTAAGAGTGGTAAATGAACACTGAAAACTCTTTTGCATTAAGTCATACAGGGATGTATGCTGACATTGATTGCATGTGGCACAGCCCTACCTAGAAACATTTGACCACTGGGATTTGAACGAGTGTTTTTACAGAGATGATGGATAATTTTGCGACATGTGAACAGAGTTCCGGCAGGTCCTCTCACCTGCGCCACGTCCCTCTGCGCCCCCAGGTAGAGCCGCGGCAGGATGAGTGACAGGGGGGTCTCCGCGTCCCTCTCCCGGGACAAACCCATATCTGGAGCACAAAAAACACTGCATGTCACCCTGCAGGCTTTTGTGAACATAATCACATTGTGAACATGTGCTGTTTTTTCTATCTCACGCAAAATATCGATGTATTACTCACTGTAAGTGTTGATATATTCCTGTAGAATCCCACAGCAGCTCTCCGTCTGCAGACTGTCCTCTGTCCTCACTCTGCGCACACTAACTGACTTCCAAGCGATGAGCTCACTCCAGGGGCGGACTGGGACTAAAATTTCAGCCCTGGAATCTGACCCAGTCCAGCCACATGTCATGTCAACGGGGGGGGGGGGGGGGGGAGATCAGATAAAATAATACAGTACTATTAGTTATTAGAAATCAGAGAAGAGAAGAGGGAGGACACTCCTCAGATGTCTTAACACATGGGACATCATAATAAACAGTACACACACAAAAATCAGCTGTTTATTAGGCTGCAGTTTAAGGGACCTAAAAGAAATAAACAAGATTGTCTGAGGCGGTTTTGTAAAACCTAATGTTGGGGGATCAGCAGTTTCTTTAGTAGGTTGCTTTTTTCTGCAACTCTGTCGACGACCAAGTCATTGTCGAGGGACATGAGGATGTCCTTTTTCTGTTGACATAAGCATGAATGCTTCCAGGTGTTCTTGTGACTGTGTGCTCCTTATTCGGCTTTTGATGTGCTTGAGTACAGAGAAACTTACTTCTCTCACAAGCTACCTGTGTCCCAGGCAGAGTGAGAAGAAACGTGTATCCTAAACCAAGGAGCTGATAGCCATCTGTGAAGAGGTTGTAGCGTTTTCAGAAGTTGGTAGCAACATTTTGAGCATTCTTTACAAGAGTTGCACTGTTAGTTTAAAACCTCTGTCTCTTCTTCCTCACAACCAGAGCAAAGTCTTACTCTGTACTCTTCAAGTGCAGACATTTTAAGCCGTGGCCACTGGGCTGCCAGACACTTCAACTCAGACTGCACATTTGCAGCAGTTGCCCTGCTGTCAAACCTAAGCAAGCATTTGCTATAGATCTTGAAATGTAGAGTCAGGCAGAGTTCTGCTGAACACACTTGGGGAACGTTTCTTGGATCATGGACAGCCAAGTCAGCATACAGAGTGCCGTGGGTCATGAAGCGTCGTTTGATACTGTCTGTGACAGTATCCAGGACCTGGTTATGGACCTCTACTTCATAGGCCCTGTTTGCATCTGTCCATCTCTCATCACTTGCCATTTCGCCAGCCATCATCTTCCTTTCCTGTTCCTCTTCAGTGGAAGTGTTGTTTCCAACTCAAGCTCACAGTCCTCTTCTGCCTCCAGTTTTGCATTTGCCCACTCAACAAAGTATCAGCAGCTGTCTTCACTGTCATGACATCTCTTGTCATGTTCATTAGTGCATGTTGAGTGGAGAGGTGGAGGTAAACGGTACTCCACCCCCCCCCCC